AGGTCAAGACCAAACTTAGTCTGGGATCGGGCGTTGTCCCAACCCAGAGATCTGGTTGCAGAGCTGGTCCTTACTCTGGAAACGAGCGTGTTGGAAAGGAAGGTCAGGATCAGTGAGTGGGAAACCAGTTCTGGAAGGCCACGGGAGCAGGTGTATAGGAGTGATTGTTAGGAACGGTTCCTGCCTCCCCCCCAGAAAAGGGCTGAATGCACCTCTTACGGTCCAGGTCAAGACCAAACTTAGTCTGGGATCGGGCGTTGTCCCAACCCAGAGATCTGGTTGCAGAGCTGGTCCTTACTCTGGAAACGAGCGTGTTGGAAAGGAAGGTCAGGATCAGTGAGTGGGAAACCAGTTCTGGAAGGCCACGGGAGCAGGTGTATCCAAACCAAACGGCAGTCAGGCTCTTGCCTGCTCAGGACCTCTCTGAAGCTGTAGAAGAATCCTTTCCTGCTTCAGCGGGTGTACGCTGAGCTCTCCTTCTTCTACTGCCGAAGCTGTTCGCAGTGTTCAGGAGGCAGCGATGGGGTCCTCGCCCTGTCAGGCTGCTCGCGATCAGACCCTCGGAAGAGCAGGTGATACGTTTTTGAGATGGCTTTCCCCTTTCTGCCTTGCTAATGTAACGTCAGGCTTGCTTTCCCCTTCCCCATCTTTGCAACGTGTCCTTTGCGGCAGTAGCTCTGACCCTCGTGCTCTCCACCCTAGTGACGTGACTTCTCACAGATCTCGTTTGGCCAAAGCTCTGTTCAGAAAAAAAACCCCACCAAATAAAAAAAAAAACCAACAAACCAACCCTCGCACCCTACTGTACCGAAGTCTCAGCCCAGGGACTTCTGGAGTATTCTCTGCTGCTCACCTGATTTCTCTGCCTAATGTTGAGGAATAGATATGAGACTTCCTTCCATTAACACTTAAGCTTTTATATATATATATATATATTTTTTTTTTTTAATTAAAACCAGCTTTTTAAACTATATATATATGAGAGAAACTTTCCTGGTCTTTTAGGTGTCACATCACTATTTAGTTCCCCGAGAAAAGATTCCCCAGAGGAAGAATCTACCATTCATGGTCTGTAAAATGAAGAGCCCCAGAGGTGATTGAGAGCTGTCACGCTGCGGGGATGGTGGTGTCCGTACACTTAGATAAGGTCTAAGGTGTGTGCGGGGAATAGGTCAGGGAAGAATCTAATGTAAAATTGAAGAATATTGATGGTCAAAAACTTTTCCCACCAGTTGCACTCAAATGCATGCCTACTATACAGCTGACTGCAAATGAAAAATACTGGTTTACTCTTTTTATTAAAGGAAAAAGACTGTCTTAATTATTTATAGTTCCTATAACTGAATTGACAGATGTCAACTTAACTGATAAATTATATTTGGTTAAATAAAGATGACATTTATTTATGTGGACTGTGGTGTCTTTCCTTCATACACCTCTCTACTTGGTTAAAGGTCTTTCACATTTTGCAGCTTATTTTAGCTGATGCTGAAACTCTCTTGATACGCAGTGGAATGAGAGTTAAGAAAATCAACTAAATTGCTGTGCACGAAGCAAACTGTGAGATTAGCATAAATGACCGGTTACCAGGCTGGCTGCGGCCGTGCCCTTGGTTGGATCCAGGTAGCTGCACGGGGGCTCCCAGCAGGACCCGCGGGGGTTTGTCGTCGGCCGCTTGCCGTGTACAGAGAAGCCCTGCCCTGGCTTGCGTGCGGCCTCTCTGCCCGTGACTGTTGATTAAGGTACGTGGGACAAAAGGGTTCTGCACACTAAGCCCCTGAATTTGCAGGAATTAGTGGCCCTCGGAGGACTCCCGTCCTCCCCAGCTGCGGGATTTGCTATTGTGGACTGTTTTCCTGTAGGGCTGTGCCTCCTGGCTGCTCGCCCAAACAAGGATCTTGTTGGAGAGTCCTAAAACAAAGCCCCGGCAGCGCCAGGGACTGGGGAGCAGCCACCAAGACCTTGCTGGCTCCAGCTTCTCCTCTGGCCCTGGGCCACGCTACCCCAAGTTGCAGGTCATTTCCCGCACCCCCTGAATCTCAGGGTGCTTGGGCACAGGGTGGGTCATTTGATACCTTGGTCCCTGGGGGACAGGGTTGTGTTTTCCTTTTCTGACTGGGGGAAAGAGGGATGGGGGAAGCTACTGAACGCTTCCGACACAGAGAAACATTTTGGCATTAACTTAAGACCTTGAAGGAATCCCAAGAACGGTGTAGCGTTGCTTTGAAAAATATATATACGTGTGTGCATGGTGTGGATTATTTTCATTTGTTTTCTGGTTGCAAAGGGGCAGGGGGCAGGGCCCG